AAGGGGCACAGAGGCAGACATTACAGATGCTTGCCCTGAAGAAGTACAGGAAGGAGTATGTACCCAGGAGCCAGACAGAGACAGAAACACATCTCTGGGTTTCTCCTTCTTACCAACGGCAGGTTATCATTTCTATATCACTCCAGACTGCTTGAACTCTGAGATTACCCCTCTCCTGTGCCTAGGATTTCTGGTCTGCTTTACTCCTTGTCCAGCTCTGCAGAAGACGCCTTTGCAGTTGATGCTTCTGCTTTCGCGTCTCTGACAACTATGAACCTCTTTTCCTGCTGCTTCTTATATTTCTGTCCAGGCTTCTGGGAATCCCTAGGGAGAATGTGAGGAGGTTTCTAGTAGTTAGGAAGGGGCTGCCTTACCTCCGCCATCATCTGATCCCTCCAAGCTTTGCTGCCTGAGGCGGTGGCTGCAAAAAAACCAAAACAAAACAAAAACAAAAAACAGGAAAACAAGTTTCAAAGACAAACACAGAAAAATGTCTTCTCCTGGTTTCTCCCTGTCCCAGGAGCTTGCTGGCCTCCGCACACTCCAAACTGAAAAGTTACACTGGCCTACACCCATGTCCCATTCTGATGTAGCCATCTGCTAAGGGCACAAGGGCTATTACCTGCTTTCTCACTACCTCTCATAGAGCTGCCTACTCTGTGAGTTACCCCAGGATAGAGGCACATCTGTCCATTCCTGACCCTGGGGTCTTTTCCATCAGTATATAAAACTGTGGTACCATGGTTGTAAATTGCACTACAGTTTGCATGCGTCTGTCCCTTACTCAGACTACCACCTCCACTTGACCCCAGAATAAGGGACTCTGCACACCATGGACATCTGCCCACACCAGGCTTTGCACCCCTGTCCTGAGCACAGACGCACCCAAGCCCAAGTGCCCTGATATGCCAAATCACATGGCCATGCTCTGTACACAAAAACACTTGGGTCAGTCTCAACAGTCCCACTGCGAGTGAGGGGTCCATAAGGGGAGACAGTCTGCCTCAATTAGCATTATGGGAACTTACTCTTCTACTTCTTCTGCGTGTTTCCTTCCTGACCTGAAAAAAAAAGAAAAGCTTTTGCTGAGAAAAAGCTGGAGGGTGAGAAAGAGCTGGAGGGTGGGGAGGGTGGGAGGAGAGCTCTTCCAACACAGTGCTCCTGTCCTGTAAAACAGCCTTCAGATTTTCCTGAGGACACAGGTGACCTTGGGCATAAAACAAGAGACCGTATCTTTCCAAGGTGCACACCGGTGGCACTGGCTCAGTGCAAATAAAGGGTTAAACAGGAACCATAGAATCCCAGAAGGAACCAGGTCAGACACCAGCAAGAGCAACTCTCTGCTCTCTGTATTCCTAAATATTCCCTCATCCCAAAAGCTACAGGTGAAGCTTCCCCTGCCTCAGTGTGAATGGGAAAACATCGAGCTAATTTCCAGCCTACACCCCTGGAGACCAGGAAGTTCCTTCTGCCCTCAGCCACAGACAAACACTGTCCGATTGCCTTCTTCGCCCAGAAGCTCCACCTCAGCCTGGGCAAGTTCAGGTCCAACATGCTGTCACTGCAGTAAATCAGGGCTGATCCGGCTGAGTTAACAGGAGTTCATAATAATATAATGGGGGGAGGCGCTGGCGAATGGCAGTTCTCTCACTCTCCACCCCAGCAAGCCCAGAAGTAATTCAGCTCCGATTAGGGATGCTTGTTCAATATTCAAAATGTAAAACATGGAGGTTGCTGAACCAGCACTTTGAAAAGTTAATTAAATGCCAGGTTTCTTTTTAGCAGATACTCCATCACTCACTGATTGCTTTGGCCATTTTGCAGAATGAAGTTCTAACACTGCACGTTGGGAATAAATATGCTCCCCTCTCCCGGGAGTCAGGGCTCCATGACAGGGAATACATGGGGCTTTCTTCTCCCATGCACCTGGGCCCAGGAAGCCTCAGCCATTTCCATTTTCTTGCATTTCCCCTTTTGAAGCACCTGGGTGAGATGGCAGAAGCCTCCCTTTCACTCATCCAGCTCTCTATGACAACAGCCCCAGCCACTCACGTAGCCCTCAGGTGTAGAACATAAGTGCACACCTAAGTGTAGAACACGGCACAGAGGAGTCTCTTTTATGATAGGAGGGAGCTGAGGGAGTCTTATGTCTTGAGAAAAACAGAGACGGTGGGAGTGCTCCTCACTGGAGCTTTCACTCCGGAAGAAGTTGAATCAGAGGCTTTGGGATGGATACAGTTGGATACAATTCCGCTGTTACAGCCAGAGTTACAGCCACTTACAGGAGATCCGAATCTGGATTTGGGTCTTCACCAGTGGTTAGGGTTAGGTCCACCCCCAGCCCTGCCCCACAGCCAACGCACAGGTTTATATAACTAAATAACCCCCTGCTAACCCAAAAAGGGTAAAGAAGTGGCCTAGGAGCCCAACGCTAGCTGAGGCTAGAGGCTGTAAAGTCCATGGAAAGAATTTGAGAAGTAGAGCAGAAAGGAAGTGTGAAGAACACCTCATCACACACATCTCTGCTTAGGCAAGGGTGTTCCCTACAGCTGATTTTCCACAGCTTTCACCCATCCCAAGCAGCAGGCATTTCTATCCCTTCCCAGAACTAGGAGACAATACTGCACCCCAAACAGCAGAAACACTTTCTGGATGTTCACTCTAAACAGGGCTGTCCCTAGGGTATGGCAAATCAGGGTGACCGCCCCAGGCCCTGTGCTTTGGGGGGCCCCATGCTTTGACATCTGAGGGCTGCAACAGAGGTGCTGCCTAGCACCCTCCCTGTGGCACAGCCTGGCAGGGAGCCCCTGCAAGGCTGCCAGGCACTCAGCTTGGCTCAGGACCTCTCACTGCATGGGCATCCCCAGCCCTGCCTGACGCGGCTCTCAACTTGGCTGCCCTGCGCTACAGACGCCCCCCACCCCACCCCGGACAGGCAGCACTGTCAGCATCAGGGCCAGGGCTGCTGCCTCCATCCTGCTCTGCAGCCCATGCCACCCAGCTCTCGTAAGGGGGCCCTGCACAGGCTGATTTGCCCCAGGCCCTGCACACCCACAACGTCGGCCCTGACTCTAAATTGTCACTATTGCTGGTGTTGGTCCCTTGCATGGCCCTAAATAACCCTTCTTCTTTCTTGGCAATTACATTCTTCAGATCCTTGTGCCTAGCCTCGCTCATTTCCTAGTCATCAGTTGGCCACTCTACACAGACTTAGCTCATCTTACCACTCCCAGGAGTCTGCCAGTCCTACCAGCCTCTTCCTTTCCTCTGGTTTGTCAACAAAATCCTGACACCAACAAGGCCCAAAAACAATACAATATCCCATGTACAGTCACAGCTGTCCCTCACAGAAAAAGACTATCTGCTGCCCATTCCCATACCTGTTGTCTCTGCGGGTGCAGTCCAAAGACTCACCTGCCTTTTCCTTGCTGTAACACACAAAGAACTGATCTGAAGCAATAAGGAAATACATGCCATGAGAACAGTGCTCTTTGGTCCTGACTCTGGGCAGAAAAGGATTTCTAAGAAAGTTAGCAAGATCCTCCATAGATTTCCAGCGGCCCCATTCTTGTCTTATATTATGTCCCTTAACAACTTCAGGCTTCTTTCAGCTTTGCCCAGTTGCTAAGACTTGTCCATCCAAAGAGCAGCAGATGAACAGCACAGTTTACAGATAGGGAATACGCTAAAGCTGGATGTCTGGCGGAGGCTACAAATTAACACTCAAGATAAGTGGTTAATGTTCCTAAACCCAAATAAGAATTTGGGGCTGCAAGAAAACCCCAATTGGGTTAAAATGTAAAAAACGGATTAGCATCCTCCACAAACGAGTCAAGTAATGGCAAGGCTCAGAAGGTATCTAAGGGCATTTTTCTTTTAATTATACAAAAATGGAGGTTGGAACATTGTCAGCATGAAAGGCTCAGACGTGAATCTACTAATCAATATCCAATTAAGCAATTTATTCTTTGTATTGTGGTTGTGCCTAAAGACTATGTTCAGGGTCAGGAGCAGGTACTGTAGAAGCATGTAACAAAAAGGCCATTTCTGCCCCCCATCCACATATAATCTAGTGGAACGTGTGTTCCTACAGTGCCACACAATCAAGCCTGAGTGCCACTGAAATACAAGCAGTAAGTCATGAGAAAAGTACAGGTGGGCAACATTTGCAAATACAAGATTCATTTAAAGAAAAACAAAACATATGGGCTATTCCAACACTACTAGCAAATTCCCCACAGCATTTCAGCTGGGGAAAACATTCTGAGCTAGATTCACAATGTTGGAGAAGAGGATATCACCTTTTATCCAATGCAGTTAGAGCACTAACCCAGGGCCTGGAAGAGCCATGTTCAGTCTGTTCGCCTAAGAGAATCTAAACCCAAAAGAGGGCTCCAGCCACCAGACTGCAGAATGGGGGTTGGGAGCAGGGGACAAGGGGAGTGGCTCTGTTTCTACTGTGGCTGGTATTTCACTTTGCAGGAGATATTTAAATATGCACTGAGTCAGAGAATGAGAGAAAGAATGACTCTCTAATCCAGAGGCTCCCAACCACTGGACCGTGGCCCAGTACCAGGGCGCGAAGGGTTGGCTGCCAGGCTGTCTGTCTGCCTGGGTTAAAGCTGGGCAGTGGGGCAGCCCTGGGAGGGAGGCAGCTGGCTCCATATGTCCTGTCCCACTCACGCCACCATGGCTGTGCCTGGTGAGATGCTGCCCATGCAGGACCCCCCAGCCCCGCCCACAGCTGGGAGCAGGGCGGGGCGGGGGGGATGCCTGGGACGAAGGGCAGGGAGGGGGCTCCGCTGCTGCTTGCTCCTAGGGAAGGCAGCAGAGCCTCTTCTTCCCAGGCAGCCCCAGCTGGGACCCCCCCAAGCCACCACCTGCACAGCCTCCTTCCCTGCAGGGTCCCCAGTGCCCGTGGCTGCCCCAACTTGATCTGATCCTCGCAACCCCAACAGTGTAAAAATTAAATTTAAATATGTAAATTAAATTGCTTCTATATCCAGTTGGCCAAAATTCTTTGAGTGAGTTTGCCAGTCCACAGTATAAAAAAGGTTGGGAACCACTGCAGTCCACCAGTTAGGATCCCTTACATGGATCACAGTGCTTGTACCACTGAATACCTAATTATTTATGCCAAGTGGAACAGATCAGCAAGTGAGAGGGAGAACCCTTCTACCCCCACGCCAGAACACTGGAGAGCCTGGAGGTCAGGACCTTCTCTAGGACCCAGGGAAATGTGGATTTGAATCCCCTCAGGGAGAAGAGAAAACAACCCAGATCCTGGGCAAGTGCCCTAACTACTGGTCCATGAGCTGAAAGGGAGCCCTGGCACCACCAATTCTTCTGCTTTTCTTCTGAGTGTCCAGAATGAAAAGCTTCATGTTGGGTCTGAACAAAGCATGTGGGCCTGTCAGGTACAACAGCAACCATGCTTCCTTCAGTAAATAGGACAAACAAAAGCAAACAGACAAAAAAAACCTGAAAAACAGAGATATTTGGATCCAGTCAAAATCAAAATTTGGCTTCTGTTCCCATTCAGCTGCCCAAACCCAAAAACCTATTTCTGCACAGCCCTAGATAAAAAACAGAAGTAAAACTTAACTGGGCCCCCAAATACATAATCTAACCCCACCTTTTCAGAAGGGATGAGCCTTTTCTGTGCCCTACCTGTCAAACAAGAACAGCAGTGGGAGCAACATGCCAACTGAGGGGGCTTCCTTTGAAAGTGACTCACCTCTAGCCCTGTTGAAGCCACAGGCTTAGCAAATACCGTACACACACCTGGGGACACTGTTACAAACAGAACTGGTCTCTTGTTGGTCTCTTACTTCCACAGCTGCTCACAGAAGCCAGGCATGCATCTTCCATGACATGAACATTCTGGTTTTGGTGCTATGGAGTGCCCCATCCTGGCAACTAGCTTAGCCTATCAATGCCAATTGCACCAAGCTGGGTCCATGCCTTGAATGCCACACACTGCGCACATATTTTCTTTTCCACTGCAAGAACATATAGCCTTGCATAGATGAACTAAGGCAGAGTAGGGAAGAGCTTGGGT